AAAAAAGCTTGTTAAAGCATTCCCACGTGACAGTCAGCAAACTTTCGTGTTGAAAACCAAAGCCGAATGTTCACTTCTAAATTCTTCACAAAACCAGTTAAAATGGCGGTGGTTCAGATCACGACCCCTGATCCAGTTGATGGTCTTCACTGAAGTGTCAAAGACTTTTTCATCTTCGTAGGTAATGCCAGAGCACGTCGATGAAGAAAACAGTGGGTACCTTGTAATCGAATGCGGAATCTCTTGTTTCATCAATGCAAAAATTTCTGATTTATTTCCTAACATAGCAGGGGCTCCATCAGTACACACAGAACCAATGATTTGGATATCCAAGTCATACTTCGCAAAGAAGTTCTTCACATACTGGAAGGCGTCTTTTCCTTTTGTGGTTGTTTTCATATCTTCACAAAACAGTAATTCTTCCATTATGGCACCATCATGGAAATACGTTACCAATGCAACGAGTTGACAGTAATTTGAAACGTCGGTTGCTTCATCCAACTGGAGAGAAATTTTTAAGGGACTTGCTCTAATATCAGCGGTAAATTGATTCAAAATGTCATAACTCAAATCATTCATTCGGCTTTGAACAATATGATTCGATAACGGTACTAATTTATGCTTATTTGAGGCTTCTTTTCCCAGAACAATTTTTGTCATTTCTACTACACACGGTTTTATCAACTCTTCTGCAATTGTATGTTGCTTCTTGCACTTGGCTACTTTATATGCCACATAGTATGAAGCCATCAGCAGTGGCTTTTCAGTTGGTATAACCGCTGATTTTTGAAGGGCTGTTCTAGAGTTGAGTCGGATTCTTTTAGCTATCAATGATTCAATATCATCACCTGTAATTTCTGCACCAACATGCCGGTTGATGAAATGTTCCAGCAGTTTAAACGGCTTCAGAATTAATGTTTGAAAAGGCAGCGTCACAAAGTATGCACTGGGGTTTTTGCATACCATTCGTTGTTTTGGTGCAAGTGAAACCAAACTTCGCATAATCTTTATTCCATTTCTTTCCTTTTTTCAACATGAAGGGTTAATAATAATTGAAGTAATATGACTTAAGAATATGGATCAAGTCGATTAGAAGAAAAACAACGGAAGGTAAATAATATAACAAAAGTATATTCACCATTTATTAGAGGCAAAGGAAAGATGAATTAACTAATGTATGAGAATTAACTAGCGCGTACATCACGTTGCAGAATATGGCAGAAGTTAACTATAGGCGCGGAAAATCTGTTATGAACGAATGCACAACAAATCTATTTTGGACGTCTACCAATGTTGTACGTGTAATTTTTGAACAACTATTTAATTTATTTTAAACAAAATAAAATATTATCTCGCACCCTCTAGAATCCTACCTCGCACCCCCAAGGGGTGCGAGCACCCCTGGATGGGAACCCGTATCCTAGAGCGTGCCATTTTTCGCATTATGTGATCTTGTGCTGCCCTTCCTGTCTGCGTGTTTTTGACGTCTGTAGGTGGAATCGTTTCTCAAGAAAGTAAATTATCTTACTAACTTATGGTGGTTATTTGATAATATCACTGGCGAAAAGATTAAAATTTTCACGAACGTGTCTGACGTTTAAAATTTGTTCGGCTCTCCGCACAAACCGTGTGAACTTTATTCAGGTATGAACCATACACTCATACAAATAACGAGGTTGTACACTGAGCGTGTCCCTGCAATA